ACCCATTGTGTTTGTGTAATAGTTCATGATATGTCTCACTATTCATATAGCACAAATGACTGAGAACCAAAGTAGATTCTATAGATAAATGTTTATTCTGTTAACCTGTTTGAGCAAAGAAAAAAAATGCTTCCAGAAGGTGAATGGGATGTACGAAGAATAAAGATAAAGGAAGGACATAACCTTTTTTCATTCTTCAATTTCTTGCTTTTAATTGGCCACAAGTGGCCAGCACTCCCATCAGATATTAACTTAGAGAAAAACAAAGAGTAAGGCTCTCTTATTTTATGAACTATTGACCCTATTCACTCTTGTGATAGCAGCTTGACTCCAACAATACTGAATTAATTCAGCATTGTCAGGAAGAAGAAATTTGAGGTCTTTCCTGTTACAGATAGTAAAGGACAAAGAGATGAAACTAGAGCTTTAGAAACTGAACAGGGATCTGTTTTAATCAATTCTTTGCTCTGGTTCATACAGTTAATATAAGATTCTATCACTTACTTAGCCATTTGTCTATTTTGGGAAGTAAATCTTATTGAATGAATTGACTTTTTTATTTTCTTTTTTCTTACTTCAAATCCCCAGTGACTGCCTAGACACGTCCCTGCAGTTTTCTTGGCAAGATTTTTGGAAGTAGTTTGCCATTGTCTCCTTTCTAGGGCCATGAAAGAGTGTAACTGGCCCAATCCCAATCAGCTGGCTTTGTGCCTATGGTGGGACTAGATTTATGTCTGGGTCTCATTGGACTAAGTACAGTTAGAGCAGGTGATGAATCAGTTAAAGATGCCGGGCTACAAATCAAGAGACTATAACCACTACACCAAACTGGTTCTAATTGGACTTAATCCTGAGTAAATATATACAAGTTCAGTGTGCGTGATCATTTTTAGTCAGACTCTTGCTCCCTGTGCTGGTTCCTCCAATCTTTAGACTTTGTTTATAATCATGGAAGGAAAAATAGGTTGAAATGTATCAGATCACAGTAAATGTTTTTCATATTTGATATCATGAGAAATCATCTCTATCTTAATTGCATATAACAGAATATAAATATGCTGTTGTAGCCCCTGAAAGAAATACTGGGGTTTAAATCATTTTAAAATGCTGAGAGATTATTTAAAACAATAACAAGAAAAGCTTGGCTAGAGCATGTACCACAGATTAACAATGGTATTAGCTTGTTTAATGAGATATTTACATGAAGAGCCAAGAAAAACTAAAAAATAAAAATATTTATTATAACATGTAGAAAGCTTATCCAAGCAAGAACAACAAGTAGCACAAAAATTAGCAAACAAGTATAAATTGGCATTGAAGCATTATTGAATGGAATACTTTATTTGACCAAGCGTGATTAGACACACAAGGAATTTGTCTCTGGTGCAGAAGCTTTAAGTGTACATGCAAAGCAACAGAATAATGATAATCATCGTAATAATATCAATAAGAGCGGGGAGCAAGAAAGATAATAAGGATAAATAATAATGCTACAACCATATACACATAGGCATTAGATAGTACTGTAAGAATATACACATAGGTATTAGATAGTACTGTAAGAATTAAGTGTTCAGCAGAGTGATGGCCTGAGGGAAAAACCTACATTTTTATATTTAAAAAAATCTTAGATTAATAGAAAGTGAAAAAGCCAGAGAAATGATTGGACTGTTAGTCAACACAGGATTGAAAATATTACCAAAGAAGGATTGACTATTTTCTAAGTTAATGATGGTGTTTACATTGGTTCTCACATTTGTTGAATGTGTTGGATAGATATTTGTCTATGTCGAGTTGTAGTAGAGAGGAAACTGGGCAGAGACAAATGGAAAGAACATTATTTCCACACAAAGAAATTTGCACTATCTGCACACTTATACACACATTAAATATAATTACATTTTCCCTATCAAAAGCTTACATTATTCCAATTTAATAGTGGCATCATCTCCTTCTTGTTTTCCTCTTCCAGAAGGGAAACAATATTTGCTTCCCATAGTATTGCTCCTTTGGAGCAACTTATCTTTGCTACTGATTTTAAAATATCAGGAAACTTGGAGACTACGATAAATGCAAAATATGCTCTTTGCCATCTTTCCTGTTTCTCAGGCACTAGGAAGTGATAAGATCCTGCTGAATTAATTAGGCCAATGCTGTTAAGTTATGATGCCTGGAGTTGAAAATCAGATTTTGGAATTTGTGTTTTGAATGAAAGGCACCAAAGAATACCAAAAACAAGTCAGTATATGTTTCACCGATTATAGAAAGGTCTTTGACTGTATTGATCACATCAAGCTGTGGAATGTGAATACGGCAGAAAAACAGGAATCCCAGTATATCTCATTGTCTTCATGTGAAACCTATATACAGGTCAGGAAGCCACAATATGTACAGAACATGGTGTAACAGACTGACTCCAGCTGGCAAAGGAGTGAGATAAAGCTATATATTCTCCCCTTATTTATTCAACCTATGTGCTGAATATATATTAAGGTAAACTGGATTGGAATGAGATGAGTGTGGTTTTAAAATTAGAGGAAGAAACATCAACAATCTGTGCTATGTTGATGACACTACTTTCATAGCCAAAAAAAGCAAAGGATATGCAAGCTGTAAAAATAAAAGGAGAATTGTGAACAAAATGGGACTACATTATTCTGTTAAATAAAAAGAAAGGAAACTAATGACAACAGGTAGTCTTAGAATTCAGAATAAAGATATTGTGAATTCTAAATAGATAGTAGATAATTTCTGCCTTTTAGGCTCAACTATCAACAGTAAAGGATTAGGCAGTCAAGAAAAACACTAGTCTATGTGGGTCAAGAAGCAACAGTGAGAACTGGGCACGGAACCACTGATTGGTTCAAAATTGGGAAAGGAGTCTGACAAGGCTGTATTCTGTCGCCCTGCCTATTTAACTTATATGCAGAGCACATCATGAGAAAGGCAGGGCTAGAGAAAGGCAGGGCTAAGATATGCGGATGATACCACTCTAATGGCAGAAAGTGAAGAGGAACTAAAGAGCCTCTTGATGAGGGTGAAGAAGGAGAGTGCAAAAGTTGGCTTGAAACTCAACATTAAGAAAACCAAAATCATGGCATCCGGCCCTCTCAATTCCTGGCAAATAGATGAGGAAGAAATGGAGGTAGTGACAGATTTTATTTTCCTGGGCTCCAAGATCACCTCAGATGGGGACTGCAGCCAAGAAATTAAAAGACGCTTGCTCCTGGGGAGGAAAGCTATGGCAAATCTGGACAGCATACTAAAAAGCAGAGACATCACCCTGCCAACAAAAGTGCGTATAGTCAAGGCCATGGTTTTCCCAGTTGCAATGTATGGATGTGAAAGTTGGACCATACATAAGAAAGGCTGAGCGACAAAGAATGGAGGCTTTTGAACTATGGTGCTGGAGAAGACTCCTGCGAGTCCCTTGGACTTAAAAGGCTATGATCAAGGGCCATCTAGTGAAGCTGATTGGAAGGTGATGTAGAACAATTAAAACACTTCCTCAGGTAATGCAGAATTAACTTGAATTCATTGCCACAAAATGTAGTGATGGCTGGTAAGTCACATGGCTTTAAAAGGGAATTGAAGGCTAGGTCTCAATTAGGAGCAGCATGCTTCCAAATACCAGCTTTCAAGGGAACAGTGGTGGATAAGGAATAGGTTTCTAGCTCCTGCTTGCAAGGGCTTCAGAGCATCTAGTTAGCCAAACGCTGGTCTAAAATGATAAGCAGAGCTATTATACTCCTATGCACATCTTCACAAAGCACTAAGAAAAGAAGCACGTAGCGTGAAATATAGCAATGAGGGGCAGGGACTGACTGACACTCTGTACTTTACCCATCCTATCTGGTCAGGCAGGAAGGGCATACACCAAATCCCCTATGCAGACATGTATCAACTACTAGTGGGTCTCAGGAGAATCTATTCTATCGTGGCACCTGCTCTCTGGAGCATCATCGTTTTGAAAATCAGATGGGTCTTGATCAGGCATGGCTGGATGATGTGCTTCCTTAAATCAGTAACGCTTGTCAATGAAACTTGTCAATTGCCCGAATATAAAAGCTAGTAAAGAACCAAACATTACGCGGTTGCAATCAAGCCTGTAGTTTGTTATTCATCTGTCCAGTGTCCTTTTTTTTTTTTCTTCGCGTAACGCCCCTCTGGACGATAGAGGGATGTAAACAGTCCAGTAAAAAAAAAAAAAAAGGAGAGAATTCTTGGGGCACGAGTTTTCACGGGCAAAAGGCTTTGTTCTTGCTGCAGCGGGCGCAGACGACCAAGAGGAACGGCAAGTTAGGGACAGACGTGCGCCTTCGGCATCTCCCGTTCAGCCCTGCCTTGCCAGCTCCCCGCCACCGCCTCCCTCTCCGCGCTCCTTCCAGCCAGGGCAGCGGCAGCAGCTGTCCCATTGCTGACATTCCCCCTGCCGAGCATTCCAGGCCTCTGAGGTAATGGGGCTTCAAACATAGAGGGCTGTGCTTTAATGACCACACCGTATCCTTCCGCATGGCTGGAGCCAATGGGAACGCCTCCAAAAGGGGAACGAGGAAGGAAAGGGCGGACGGGGGGGGGAGGGGAGGGGAAAACCTTGAGCGCTCGGAGAAAAAAAAAGAAGCTCGCCCTGTGCTCCAGCAGCCTTCCTCTGTCAAGAAAAGCTGGCCGGCGAAGGGGGCAGCCCGCGTTCATTCTCCTCCTTTCTCCTTCCCCTCTCCCTAACTTTTCGCCAAGTGAAATGATATCCAGACTCAATTTTGGGTGTTGTTGTTGTTGTTGTTGAGAGGCAGGAAGTGAGGCACGTTCGCACTCTGAGCGCCTGGGAGAAGAACCGAAGGCGGCTCGCTTAGACAGGACCTTCCTCCCCCCCCCCCCATCTCCCGAAGGAATAACCAGTGAAATGGCTTTATCTGAAGCGCTCTCGGGGCTGCTCCCAGGATTTTGCAGCTAAAGGAGACCTTTTTTTTTTTTTTTTTTGCCTTGGGTTTTCGCAACAGGTAAAGTGAGCCAGCCGGTGGCGACGGTGGTGCTGGGCAAAGGATATGGGGGATTGCCTTGGGATGTTTTATTTTAAGATGGTAACGTTTCCAAAGTAGGATTCGTGGTTTCTTCACTCACTTTGGAAAAGTCCCATTCAGACTCCGGAAAGGTTGCAGTAAAGAATAAATGGCAAGGGGATGCTCTTCTTGACATAATTAGGAGAGGGCAGGGAAGGAGGTTATTTCACAGTAAAATCAATCTTGGATGGCAAAGTGCTTTGGCGACATGCTCTGTAAGTAAATTAAATCTGGTTCACTTTTTTCCCTTACCTTTTCCTTTCTCACTGCCTTTTACCCCTTTTAATCTCTATCTGGTTGATTCTGACTAAACTGCGTGAATCTTTTCCCCAATAAGTTTGTCTCATCATCTGCATAGTAAATCTCACAAACGACAGCAAAGAAATGAAGCATCTTTGTGTAGAAAATTAATCTGAGTTATGTATGCAGAGATTTTCCTGGCAGTTACAGTGCTTTCCATTTCCAGGAGTCTCTCATTGTTAATTCTAATGCTAAGCACCAGTGAAAGGAAAAAAACTAATCTTCAGTGTTTTATAGAGTGTATTTGATTTGTGGATTAAAATAAAAATTGTTTGAGACCATATTCTATATTGGCACCTCCCATTACTAACATTTTCTCTTGTTCTCTTGCTTTTTAGAATGAATATTTAACATAAATATATTTCCCCCACTTTTTATTTTTTGAAAGGAAAATATATAAGCTGAAGGAGGATTTATCATTTTCCTGTTCATATATGATACTTCCCACTTGTTTTATTAGTGTATGGAATCCTTATGCAATCCAATCTGAAAATAAATAAGTTAGATTGGAAACATTGCTGGTTATACTTTGCGTATTAAAACAAGATAAAATAAATAGATACATGTAAAGAGTTTTAGGACTGCTATGATTTCAACATACATTTTATTGGATTTACTAGTATGTATTTTAATAAACATTTTATTGGATTTACTAATATGTCTACTTTATGCAGAATGGAGAATATTTGAAATAGGCGAATATGGCGAGGTCTAACATGACAGCAGCTGGTAGCAGAAAATAACAGCTGCTAAACAAAACTGGTTGTGCTGTGTTAGCAAGAATTGTGCTTGGCTAGTGTGGAAACTTGTTGAATAGGATTGAAGCATGATACCTTCTCCACCCATCCGCTGGCATTTTCTAATTGACTTGCTGTAATATGACTGCATTCTCTGTGGCTCATTTTTGGAAAGTTACAATGATTAGGAAGATACATTCTAAAATGTTCCTACCCTCTGATTTTTCTGAAGTGTAAAAATAGGATTCATTGTCAGGCATATTTCTAAGTCAAATGTCGGCATGTTTATACAAAAATAGTTTAATAAAGAATGAATCTGATATAATATGAAACATAATGCACAATCCAGCCAAAAGTAAGTGTTGTATACCAATACATTGAATTCAGTGAAAGAGAGATGAAGACTGATCTTGTCCATACTCATTCAAAAGTGAGTCTCAGTAATTGAAAGTAGATCACATTAAATGTGGATACAACTATAGGCTTAAGCATGTGCTTAATGTTTCCAAATGAGAACATTAGAGCTAAAAGTATTTGTTGGAATATGTAATATGGTATAAGGAAAAATGGAAGCCTTAGAATTTCATGCATTAATTAATATTTGTATATGTGGTTAGAGAACTATGGGGAAATGTCAAACTTCAAGCATATTTATGAGATAGCTTATTCAATATATAATTAAGAAAGTATTGTAGAATGTTGCAATATGGTACTTGCATCTGGGCAGAATATATAGCTTTGTGCTGTAATGAGGTTGAAAAGGAATATGGGGAATGACAGAAGTTTAAAAGATGAACATGGTGTGGTTTTTAACATAGTAATAGGAACGGAGCTGAAGGACTATAGTTTATATGTTCAACTGTAATACTTCTAAGGTTAGTATTGGAGCGTCTGATAGTTGGCATGGATATGAATATGGATCATCTTGAATTGAGCTTTGATCATCTTGAATAAGAAGTAAACAGAAGACAACACTATAAAAATCATTGTTTCCTTTAATGAGATAAAAAATGTAACTTTCCCTAGTAATAGCATTAGTAGTGTTCACAAAGGATTGAGATTCAGCAGTGGAGTAACAAACTGTCTTCTCAGACTATAGACAACAAACAAGTTGGACTGCTCATGTGTACTCCAGTGACATCATCAAGATGAATCTCACACCTGATTAACAGGTCATGATGAAATTTTTTTCAGTTGCATTCATGGAATTACCTAGATGATTCCATGAATGCAACTGAAAAATGTTCATCATGACCTGTTAATCAGGTGTGAGATTCATCCTGATGATGTCCTTGAAGTACTTATGAGCAGTCCAGCTTGTTTGTTTTCTGTTGAAGACATTTGAACTTCAAGTATATTTTCTAATTGCAAGCTCTCATATATTTTTATTGCTTCTTCTCTTTGGAAATTAAAAAAAAACTTTCTCTCATGAATACTGTAAAGAAAGGTGTGATAGTTGCGAATATGTCCCATGACTGAAAGCACTAAATTTCACTTCCTTAAAATAGTTTGCTCTACAATGGTCATAAATGTAGTTGTCCTGGATTGAATGAGTTGTGAATTACGGAAGTAACGCAGTAGCACATGTTACTACTTCATGAATAAAATGCAATTTCTAACTTATTTTTTCAGGTTTAGTATAACATTAATAGTTAAAGTTCATATATCACACTAGGTATAATGTAGCTTATTTACATTACTAGAACAGTAATATAATAGTAACTACATTACATTAACCTGAACAGTTTAGTATAGAGGTGCACAATTGGAGTCCCTCCAAAGACTTGGATATGGCACACAGGGATCTCCAGAAGTTCTTATGTTAGGAATAAAAATGAACAAATACATGGGATAATAACATTTACTTATTTTAATAAAGGTTCCATTACAATCAATATTGATAAATACATAACTAATATTTAATGCAGTTAAATGTACATTTAATTTAATTTTGTCCATCAGTACTTTTGGGAGTATGGCATCAAAGATCAAGTGAGATCTCTTGCCTGCAAAAGGTTGGATCTTTGTGTGCATGCACATTATATAAATATATATATAAACTTGTTGCATCCAATGGGACCTAGGTAAGATGCCTTCTCACTAGTGGAGCACCCTTTTGTCTCAGAATCAGCAAACCTCACCTTCTAGCCTTCCAATAAGCCTTGACGACCTGGCTTGTCCCATAAGTACTAGGTAGTATGTGGTTGAAGCTCACAAAAATTGTTTGTTGGATGTGAGTGATGTGTTGCTTTATGGAGTACTGGAAATATTTTTGTTGGTTTTTATGTGCTATGTCAGTGATGGCGAACCTTTTAGAGACCGAGTGCCCAAACAGCAACCCAAAATCTACTTATTTATCGCCGGGTGCCAGGTGGGCGTGGCCCACTGGGTGGGCGTGGCTGTGGTGGTCATGGCAGACTGGGTGGGTGTGGCCAAGGTGGGCATGGTCACCTCGATTTTGCTCATGGGGATGGATGCCTGTGGGGGCCGGGCAGGGTTGGGGGAGATCCAGGGGGTCTCTGGCAGGTGGGGCGGTGGGCAGGAGGCTCGTCCTGCGGGGTGAGGCAAGGCGAGGCAGGGCAGGGGTGCTATTGTCACAGGGCGAGGCGAGGCAGGGGCCGGGGCGGCTGCTGCCTGACACCATCAGCCCAGACACAGAGGCCAGCGGGCGCATGGGGGCCAATAGTGTCCGTCAGCAGCCACAGCCTGCCGGCCCCTCGACCGGCACACTCTGGGGCTCTGCAGCCCGCCACCAGCAGTTCAGAGAAGTGCCCACAGAGAGGGCTCTGAGTGCCGCCTCTGGCACCCGTGCCATAGGTTCGCCACCACTGTGCTATGTTGTTTCAGGTGTATATGTGTGTATGTATAGTCTTATAGTTTATAATAAACATGTTATGGCATAGTGATTCTTGTGAAGGCAGTCAATTCCTTATTGAAGACATTATATTTTGACATATCTGAACCACATTGAACAATATCCTAGTGTGAATATTCTTTAAGTTGTAATGTCTAGGGTCATACAGAATTAATGGGATATTTTTCTGTGTAGTTTATTTATTGAAATATGTGCAACCTGTTCATCATCTATTGCTGAATTGCTATGATTTTATTTATTATAGATTGGTGCTAGTAAATATAATAAATCTTTCTAATACAAAATTTTCCTGCTGTTTATTTATTACTGAAGCTCTCTCTTTTGTAGAAGCACATCTCACCTCCCTTGGGTGGTATCTGAAAAAAGACCTCATTAGAAAATCTTAAGGTTCAGGTATCTACATATGGGAGAAAGTGCTCCTTCAGACAATCTGGTTTCAAGACTTTTATGGTTTTAAAGATGAAAAATAGCACTTTGAATTGGGCCCAGAAAAACTGGCAAGCAGTGTAGATGGCAAAGTACTGGCATAATAGGTGCATATCAGCCAATTTCAGTGAGCATGTAAGGTACTTTACTTTGAACCAACTGAAGTTTCTGGAGAATATTAAAAAACAGCCTCTTTTAATGCATTGTAATAATCCAGTTGAGAAATTGAACATGAATAATTGTTGCAAGACTATTTTTTTCCAAGTAAGAGAAGAGCAAAAAGATGATTAATGGCCTGGAGGCTAAAACATATGTAGAATGGTTGCAGGAATTGGGTATGTTAGTTTAATGAAAAGAAGGGACTAGGGGTGACATGATAGCAATTTTCCAATATCTAAGGGGCTACCACAAAGAAGAGAGGGTCAGCCTATTCTCCAAAGCACTTGAAGACAGGACAAGAAGCAATGAATGGAAGCTAATCAAGGAGAGAACAAACCTAGAAATAAAGAGAAATTTCCTGACAGAACAATTGCTCCATCACTGGAGGTTTTTAAGAAGAGATTGGACAACCACTTGTCTGAAATGGCATGATAAAGTAGACCACAACCTACTACTTGATAAGATAGAAAAATGTGGGTTAGACAGCATCACCACCAGATGGATTCATAGCTGGCTGACCGGCCTTACTCAGCGTATGGTCCTCAATGGAACTGCATCTACATGGAGGGAAGTGTGTAGTGGGGGCCCCAATGATTCTGTTCTGGGCCCAGCGCTCTTCAACATCATCAGTGATTTGGATGAGCGGATAGATGGGGAACTCATCAGATTTGCAGACGACACTAAGCTGGCAGGAATAGCCAACACTCCAGAAGATAGG